GACCTTCCCCTTCAGCACAGTCATTTTAAAGAGGCTTGGATAATGTCTTTCTTCTCCCAGTTGTGCTTTTGCCCAACAAACATCACTCCCACACTCTCAGTGTCTCGCTCCATCCCCACACCCACCAGTTAGCCTGTTGCTCTCTGCCTTACAACACAGCATCTCAGGCACCCCCTGAAGAGCTTGTTACAGCTCCTGCAGTTGCTGCTGACCAAGAGCCAGACACCAGCTAAGTCACACTGACACTTCACAGAGTGCCCATGACCCACAACAAAGCCAGGAGCATTTCTCACCTTGCCAGAGCTTCCCACATCCTTCCTCTTCCCAACTGCCTCTTGAACTCTACCCAGGCACAGCACAGATAATCCAAAGGCCAAGATGAATCACAGGTCTTCCATCTACCTTGCTGTTTCTTATGTATTCAGTAGTCATGCAGCTTTCCATCCTCTCTTCCTCACTCCAGGAGCACCACAAACATGACTCACCCTGCTCCTGCTCCCCTGCTTGCTGAGTTTCTCACAGCCCTGCTCCTCACCATTTGTCTCTTCCTGGGTGGAGTCCTCTGCCCCCCCAGTGACTGGGATCAGCTCAGGAGAGAAAAGTTACAGCTGAGTATCCTAGGTGAAGTCAATCCCTCCTTCCCCTCTCTACACTTGCCAGCTTGCCACAGTGCCACCCAAGGCTCTGTTTCAGGGATATAGGGCTGCAGGAATTTGGGTTAGGAGGTCCCATCACCAAGCAGAGAAACCCCCAGGGCTGGTAAATTGTCATTACTTGGGCACATGTGAGGGGTGGAGCCCACCCAGAGCTCACAGCATCATTAAAGTGGAGCATTGGAGCTTGTGTTTGTTACAGTTCCTAATCTGCCACTGTTTGGTAAGTGTCTGTCTTGCCCCCATGATCTTCTGAGTTAACAAAATCAGCTGTGTCCATCTTCATTCCTATCCGGTTCCTTTTCACACAGCTTTCCGACATGAAAGGAATTTTCCAGAAGTGTATGGCTTTTGTTTTCCTCTGCTGAGCAGCTGCAGGAGACAGGTTGCCAATGGAATCATAGAATTGTTTCGGTAAATACACAACCTAGCTGTCCTGACAGTCTCTGCTGGGCTGTGATGCCATCAAGTTAAAGCGGCATGGATTAAAAAAAAAAGGTGTTGATCAGCATCAGAAGTGAGCTGTCAGGCTGCTGGGATCCACGAAGGAGGCTCCCAATTAAACAGAAATGGTCTCTAAGGATTGTAGGTGGACAGTATCTGCCATCATTCTGGCAGCTTCCTATGATCTTCTCTTCAGAAATGAGCGTGTGAAGGCAGAGAAAAAAGATGAAAGGAGGACCTTGAGATGAGAAAGCCCCAAATGATGAAAGATTTCAATGGACTGAGAGAAGTACTCCAAAACCAAAGGCACTCCTGTGTTGCCTGTATCACTGTTTCCCTGGAGAGGGTTTCAAAAACTTCTGTAAGTACTCATCTGAGACACGGGGACACAAGTCAGGAAGCAGAGAGAAACTTTTCAGGCCTGGGGAAAGGCTGGAATTCTCAATGGTTCCGACTTTTTCTGAATCAGTTCATTTCTGCCCTCACCTGCAGCATCTGCTGCTTCGGTGTCACGGCCCTTCCCTGTGACTGCCTCAACACACTCCAGGATGTGCCTGTGCTGCTCCTGTGCTGTCCCCTCCCCACCCACCCAGAATGGACACGCAGCAGGAAAGGACAAAGCTCTTCAGCCTGCACTGAGCTGAGGAGGGAGATGAATCACACACTTCACCCCCCTGGGTATGTCCAGTAAGGATCAGATATGTCAGCTGAAATCTGTCTGGAGGCTCCGGTGAGAAATGTCCTAATGTGGGAACAATGGAACAATGCAGGGAAGGGAGATAAAGCACTCTGGGAAGGAGAGAAGGGATCAAAGTCCCTTGAAATGAGCATAGAACAAACAATCACGAGGGAAAAGGAAAACCAGGGATGCTGCTCAACCCACTGAATTCATCACAACCTGAAAGTGAATTCCACCCGAAGGTGAAGGCAGGGAGTGAAGAGAGACACAAAGAGAGAAATCATCTCCTGTTTGTGAAGAGTACACAAAATCCACCCCCCAGCATATTCCAGACACCTTCCCTGGAGCCAAGACCATCAGCAGAGAACAATGACTGTCAGAGGCAGCAGATCTTGAGAAGGATCCCAGAGAACAAGAAGGAATCCGAGCTGCAGGTGCCAAAGAGCAGAGGGTAAAGGTCTGCCAGCACCAGCAGGTTTAAAGGCTCCAACAGGAGGGGAGAGATCTTTCCATACAAAAAGATACAGCTCAGTTATTTTAGGAAAAGTTTATCTGGAGGGAGGCATATACCAACAAAGCAGCGTTTCACACAGTGGAAGAAATATTTGGAAATTCTGGATGCAAACTTTAAAGTGAGCAGCTGGAAATTTAGATGGTCTTCCTTCTGAAACAAATAGGAGGGATAGATGATGATACCAACAACAGACCTGGAGGAATGTGGGAATGAGAGCAGACTGCAGGTTTAAGGGGAAAATCTAAATTTAAGTTCTTGCACTGCCTCAGGTGTTCGTGTGGAGCAACTGTCCTGGGTTTTCTCTTTCTCAAGCCCTAGGATGAGGAAAGTATCAGTGTGTGGACAAAGGGGAACATGAAGAGAGGTGAAACTCAGAGAGCAAGCTGGGCCGTGTGCTTTAGCACACCAGCATAGCTCTGAGAGAAGGCAGGGACAAGGCAAAATGGGGATGGTGGCTCTGCAGCCACAACTGGAGGACAGAATGTGTGAACAAGCAGAGATGACAACCTGCAGTTTACTGGGATACTACTGCAAACAAGCCTCCATCTCATTTCCACACCTACAGTACCCTCTACTTAACTGCAATACATTTAATCAAGTTGTTTCTTAGAGATCCAAATAAAGCTTGATGATGCTTAATGGCCGGGGCTTAATGGCTGGGTTGTTTAACTGGGCTCATAATTTTGATTAATTAAGATGCTTGCAGGTGTTGGAGTGGCACTTAAGCAGCAGCCTTGATGTTCAGAGGCAAAGGGGGTTCTGTATCCCCTTCTGAAGGATTTCTGCCAGTGCTGGTTCAAACACAGCAAAGCTGCCCTCAAGCCCTTATAAAAAAGTCAGCCCTTGTAGCTGGCAGTAGCCTCCAGATTTCTGGGAAGTTTGACAACCTGCATGTCCCTTTAATCAGTTTTATCTTGGGACAAAACTGGAAAAAAACCCCAAACAACCTAATCCCACCCTTTTGCCTAGGGCAGCTCTGTGTCCTTGACAGGAGGTAAGTAAGAAGTGAGAGGATCTCCAGGTGATGATAGTGTGGACCCAGCCAGCACAGCAAACACCAGAACACCATTTCCACCCTCCTGAAATGTGCTTTGGAGCAGTGGAGCACACGAAGCCTGGCTGCCTAGGAGTTTGTCCCATGTCCATATATCCTCACACTGTGATTTCAGCTTCCCCCTGTCAGCAGATCTCCCTTTCCCTTTCCTGCTGTGTCACCAACTTGCCATCCTCCCCCCAGGGAGTCGTGTGGGTGACCCACAGTGACCTGGAGGAAGGGAGCACAGAGTGAGTGAGTGGCCAGCAGGCACGAGAAACCCCACCAGAATGTCCCCCTTAGGCAGTACAAATTTGTATTTCCCTTTTCTATTCAGCAGCTGACTTTCTTACAAAAGGTACTTACCTCAGATTTTTGTCTCTTGAATGCAGATGAAAATGCCCCCAGGTTAAAAAATATTTGGAGAGGAATCACAACACGGATACCAGTGTGGCATATGCTCATTTCCATAAGAAACTAAAACACTGGAGAGAGGCACAATGAGCCGAACTCACCATTGTTTTCAGTATCAGACATTGGCATTAAATTAAGCAGGGCTTGATGATTTAAGGCTTAGTAAATGACTACTGCCAACTATAAAGGCAACATGACCTTGTGGATAGAGCACTGAGTGAACAGGGCTCAGAAGAGCATCTGCTTTGCCATGGAGGTACTGAAATAATGTGGACAAATGTTATCTTCACATGTGTATAAATATCAGTCAATCTTCCACTTTTCTTGTAATGTGTACAAGGAATGCAGAAAGGAAGCAGCATATTGCCTAGGGACCACAGAGATAACCTTTTTCCAAGAAACAGCTTGTTTGGCAAGCACAGGAGGGAAAATCTGAGTCAGGAGGAATGATCTCAGCCTTTTTGTACATCTGCATTGTTCCCCTCAACCACAGCTTTGGAATAAGAGACATTCAAATGTAATTTATGGAAACTTAAGCAAATAGAAATTGGAGTAGCCCCTGAGTGTTATCAGCATATTTAATAGCTTGTGATGAATCATAACTGAGGCATCTGCTTTCCAGTGCATTAAGGCTAGAGCAGAAGTTGATTAGAATTATTCTGACCCAAGCAATGGGTCCACTTTTCAGGGAAGTGGCTGAAATGTCCAGACACCACCTTCATTTTTCCTGGCCTTATAATGCAGTCTTATTACAAAGATACTGTGAATTCTGAAAATTCCTGGGAAAAAACCAGAAAATAATACCTTTAAACTCACTATTAGTGTCTTCAATCCATCTTCTCATTACAACCTGCCACAAATTTAGCTGCATGGGTGCTGTCTGCAGCCTAGATGGTCAATTATTCTCCTCTACTTCTACACCAGAAGAATGCAGGACTCTGAGCCATTTTGCTCTGAAAGTTCAAGGTTGTGGTTAAGTGTACCATTACCATGCCAGGGCCTGCTTGTCCTCTCCACTTTGATCACTGAGCAAGTACCTTTGTGTCCTGTAGGACTAACAATGTTAAAAGAATATATTTGCCCCGCAGCTGGTGAGAGAAACATCTTGGTTACCCACCCCTGTAGCTCTAGATTGGGCCTGAAGGCCAAAGAACAGATTTTGCAGCCTTTCAGCCCTTCCAGTAATGCTTTGTTATGCAAAGCTCCCTTATCTCAACTTTTAGGAGGTCTCTGGGGACATAACACAGAAAAGGCAGTCAAAGGTAACTGGAACTGTTCCTTAGAACACATTCTTTTATTAATGAAGAAAGATCAGAAAAACAGCTGGAGGGACAGCAGGTGAACAGAAGACACTGAACCAAACATTGTCAAAAGTCGTTCAAAAGAGCCGAGATGTGCAACAATCCAACTGCAGCTGGTTAACTTGTTCTGCCAGTGTAAAGGAGCCTCAGATGTGCATATGGATCCCTGAAGAGCTTTGGTCTTCTCACTGAGGGTGAAAGGAGATTCTGAACTGGCCCCACTCACAGCACTGGGGACCAAGGGAGGGTATTAACATTTGCAAGTCTTGAAACAGTACCTGAGCACCAGACTAATTGCCCACAGACTCACTGTGCTGCCTCTCAGCCACAACCACACAAAAGGCTTTCTCTGGCTTACAGAATTGTAATCTCCTACTTTCTGCTTCACAGAGCCTGTATCAGACTGAAGGAAGCAGAAAGTTAACCAGAGCAGCACAAGAGCCAGACAGGCTCAGGTTTTAGTACCTGTGGGTGCCGTGTCCCTCCTGGCTCCTTTCTCCAGGGGTATTCCCCCTAGGCTGTTCAAGGGAAACAATTTACTGTTTCATGACAAGTGGGGTTTCAAGAAGACTTCAAACCAGAAGATCAGTTTTTTCAACCTTTCTCTATCTCTCTATCCATCAGCAAAATTTAGGAAATCAAACTGCCTGGATAGTCTCAAGGTGACTTCCAAGATCTCCTCTTCAGAGAGAAAACGAGCTCTACCCTCCTTGCTGTTGACAGGGTAGGGGAGGTGCAGCAGCAGCTTCCTGTAAAAGAGGACACAGGGACTTTGAGTGCCTCAGACCAGACCACTGAGACGTCATTGCAAGTCACTCCTGCAGTTCTCCAGTCAGCACCCCAGAGAATGTTCCAGTATGTCTCGTTCCCGTGACAGGCTGTGGGGTCCCTGCAGTACCTGATGCACAACTGGATGGTCCCTGAAACATTTCCAGCACTTATCCCTTCCTTTTGGCTGTGGCTACGACAGTGGTTTCCAGTGATGGATTGCAGGCTCTCTCCACTGCCCTTGCTTTTGCACAGTGCTGCATTTTAAATGCAGGGGAGGGAGGAACTGCACTGAAAATGCACTGGAAACCACAGTGCAGGGATGGGAATGGACTTACACTGATGAAGTCCCTGGGATTTTAACCTACATTGAAGATTAATTTGGTGATCCCACTGCCTGTGGCTCAGGTACATAATACAAAGAAGAAAGGCTGGGTCTTGGGCTCAGGGACTATTCCACAGTCCATTACTGCATCAGATACAACTTTCCCTGGAATGGCTGACAAGTTACCTGAAAGAGGTGCAGTAAAAAAACCTTTGCACCACACCTATTGAAGGAAGACACTTTCTATAATTTGGAGAGGTCCTTAAAATCGGCTTGGTTTAGAAACAGCCCCAGGATTACAGAGTTGGGAGCAGTTCCTTCAGCTCTTCCTACCCATCTGTGAGAGAACGGTGTTTTTCAGCACGCAGAACTTGAAATCTGGGTTGTTTCTTTCATACTGAGAAGGCTTGCACTTATATTTGTGAAAGCAGCTCTGGCTCAGGCTGTACCCAAGCAACCATTAGCTCTACAGTGAACTTTTTATTTGCCAGGCTTGTGACTACAGACAGCTGGGTACTGAGAAGGTAACGGCAGATCTGAGTCACCAAAACGATAGAATTGCGAAAGAAAAAGGATGCTGAGGTTTTCCTACACCTGCAGTACTGCACTAAGCCACCTTTTTTACTGCCCATGGGTTCTGCAAATCATTAACTGAACATTTATTCCTCCTGATTTTCCATTCCAGAGCCAACAATTCCAAACTTTCTTCTGCTCCTGTCGCATCTTTGGGTTAAAACCAAGCAAGGGGTTAACTGACTTTACCTAGTTTCAGCTGTGAGAAAAATGGCTTTTCTACAGTTAGTCTACTAGAGACAAAACTTATTCTGGCCTTAATCCATGGCCTGCACCTTGAATTTATTTGCAGAAAGCTATTCACACATAGATCTTCCCACATCCCATTCAGTGCAGAAAGCCAGTCCAGAGAGGATTAAGCTTTCTTATGAAAGCACTCCTTGTGAAAAAGGACTTCAAGCAAAACAGACATGGGCATTATCTGGCAATCTCAGGCAGCACAATTGTACACTGAGGGAAAGAGGGAGGATGGCTGAAAAGTCCAGCAGTCAGTGGATTATCTTTGTAGGCTTGAAAACAGTCCTATAAAAAAGGAACTCAAAAGAAATATCTTTGTGGAGAACATGTAATTTTTTCATCTCTGCATCCATGCCTGGATATGTCCATAATTTGGCTTTCAGCTTCTGAAAACGTATCTGCACATTTTTTACCACCTTCAGTCATGTATTAGTTCAAATTACTATTTAGAAATACTAGACAAGAAGTCCTTCAAGAACCTGGGCAGTTTTTTGCCAGATGTTTCGGGCCCTTGAGGCCAAAATCTGTCTTAAAGCTGTTTATTACTAGGCAGTATCACAGATACAAAGCCAGCACACTGCACACCTATGGTTGGTTTTGTCTGTATCTGTTTCTCATGTGCAATTAATAAATCTGAGCCTCACCTCTGACTTTGCTTTCCAGACAGCCTTCACTTGAAGCCTTGGTTAAACCTCATTTCAAACAAGGTATTGACTGTACTGCACTTCTATCAGTTGTGTTACACTTACTTACTTTTTGGGAGTTCGAAGGTCAAGAACCTTGTCCTGGATATCTAAGGTGATGTCTGAGTACTTTGTCTCTGGCAGCTTGATTTTAATCTGAAATGATGGGCAGAGGCATAGCTTTGATTACATATGTAGCCCTACAAGCCATAAAAGATCTCATCTTCATGAATATTTTGATGCTAGTGTCAAAGAGCAACACTTTGAGTAGGTAATTTGTATCACAGAATATATGAGGGTGACAATCATAGCTCTCAAGAGCTCAGTGGTGTCTATTGACATCCTATTTTCTTGAAAACCCTGAACTGTTAATGTACTTGAGAGATATTTTACATCCAGCAAAAACCCTGGGCTTTGTGTATTGCAGGGACAGTTTGCTTCCACTAGAAAAATAACACAGCAGTTCTACCCATCCTGAAGTTCAGAAACCAAGGAGGTCTTTGATTATTTAATGATGGGACAGGATCTGACACCTGTAATTTTAAGGACTTGTCAGTATTGTAGCATTCTGCTAACCCATATACTTGTGAAAAATGCAGGCAGATGAAAACAATCTCCTTCCCAGCCCCTCTCCCCTCCAAAATTGTATCCAAGGTGAAACTTCTGCTTAGAGCTGCATTTTATTTCCCTTAAGTTCATACTGGCAGATGGATTTGCACAGATTCCCTGGGGTACACCTGGTCCTTGAGGAGATACACAAGTTGCCCAGGTTAGCAAGTGTAAATATGCACAAATGCTTGAAGAACTGCAAGGAAACGCTGCAGGAGGGCAGAGGCAGCAGCCCAGTTTCGTGTTTACATTCTGGCAGTTGGGAGGATATAGAAAAGGGCAGAGAAAGAGCAAAAGGAAGGGATTGGAGATCCAGGCTCAGCTCACCACTATATCCTCACAGCAGGCGGTGGAGGGGTCTTTCCCTGTCATCCCAAAGAAGACATCCTCTGTTCCCACAGACTGCTTGAATAAAATCTCATACCTGAGAAAGAGAAGTCACTGCCTAAGAACACTGCAGAAGGGGCAGGAGACTAAAGGAGGTTGCCATTTTCCCCATCATGGTGTCTCCTCCTTTTCAGTCTCCCTTCAAGGCTTCAATCCATGTGCCCTGGGTTCTGTTCACAGCCATCACTGAGGTAGTCAGAGGACAGGAATATCCTTCACTCCACCTTCCAAGGCACTCCCCATGCTGCCTCCCCTTCACCAACCAGCCTTTCTGGGATCAGGAGATGCATCCCAAGTGAATATGACACTTACCAACGAGTCAAACATTACAAACTCTTGGGAAATGGATTTGAAAAAGGAGATGTCACAATTACATGTGATCTGTGCTGCCCTTCAACATATTCTTGCAGCCTGAGCGTAACACTCCTTAGTCAGACTGCAATTGTTTTGCATTCAGCCAACATTTATTTTCTTCTCCTTCACATCTACAAAGTGTACAATCACGAACTCCCTTGCTCTTGATAATTAATGAATGAGGAAATACAAACTTGTTATAAATTTGTATTTATAACATATGTTACTCCTACTAAATTCAGCAAAATAAGTGGGGTTGATCACTTGTCTAAGCTGTTAGAAAGAGTTGTATGGAAAGTCTTTCACATCTCCAGTGGGCATCTGCATATGTAATAATTCCCAAGTCAATGACAGAAGTGTTTAATAGCTCTGGATGCACCTCTGTAGCCATCTGTTTTCCTTGTGGGACATTTCCCTACTTCATTTGATGAACTGTTATAAGGACTTATAGTCTCTCTTCATCTGTGCAACATGAGCCACAACTGCTTGAGGCTAGAGAAGCACAGGGGAGGGGAAGGGTCAGAAAATGGCATGAGAAAAGCTTCTGTTGTGTCCCCAACACGAAGAGGTGTGAGGTCTCCTCACAGGTGACCCCCTCAAGAACATTTGTGTGTGAGGGTGAGTGCCAAACCCATTTGGAGAAATGCTGAGTCCAAGTTCAGGTGTGTCTCCTGTGTTTAGATCAGGAAACCAAACACCTCACGTCATGACTTACGTACAGAGAAAAAATGAGGATTTTGGACTACAAACCAGTGTGCAATGTGCAGCTTCACAGGCTACAGTCCATCTGCTCCAGCATTATACACCCCAGGATATGGCACTGCAACACAACGATTAGAAATGCAAAAGCTGCTTTTAATGCCTCGACCCTGAGGGCTGTCTGACCTCTACCGACTACAAATGAGGTGCCTGATTGTATCCATTTCGAGAGCATTTTTGTTACTGTTTTTCTATGAGCAGGGGAAAACCCTCTGGTTTTAGGTTGTCCCTTTGACAGACCAAGATGACAAGATTTAAAAGCTCGAAGCTGCCTGCATACAGCTTTCCTTCCTGCAGTCCTATTTGTCTCTACAGAGCTTAAATCTTTGAAATGCAAATACAAGTTGGAGCGCTTTATGAATTTATGAGTGTGAAAAAATGGATGCATCTTGGTTGCAGCAGGAAAAAGCAGGTATTTCACATAAATGGCATATTTTCAAGCCAGTAAATCATCTTGCTGACCTACTTCCTCCCCTAATCCCACTTTATACAAGTAACTGATGCTGCACATAAACTTCTGATGGGAAAAATCAACACCATGTTTCTGTGATGAGATCAGAAGGTTTGAAGGGAAGCACTAAAACCACTCCTCACGTGTTGCTTTAGATGCACCACTGATATCCTTCCTTTCCTCTTCCACAGCACAAGCTCTTCAGAAGGCTGTTTCACCCCCGTGCAGTGGATGCTGTTTAAATCTCATTAAATTTAATGCTATGTAAAGCCCATGCAGGCAGACTCAGCTCACTTACTCTGGCTGTTCTCTGGGGTCCCAGGTATCATCAAACTCAGATCCTTCTGGGACCTCCTCCGTATTCCAAATAGTTTTCCTGTTTTCAGATTTCACTTGAAAAGTACCTGAAAGGGATGAGGAAAAAATCCCACTGTCACCTTTAGAAATGTCTCTGTTCCTCTAGGTTTGTTGAAAACTTAGAATATTGTTCTAGAATAATAATATAAAAAAAAGCGCCATTTCTAAAGCCTAGAAAAAAATATTTCTGGGTTTTAGAAAAATCTTTGCATTAAAACCATTCTAGGTAATTACAGTCTCCTTTACCTCAGCATCTTATGAATGAGGATTTGCAGAGGGAGGATGTTTTCCTTTCACTTAAATCTCCTTTACTCAACTATGTCTAAGAAATCCTCCTTTCAGGCATAAAATAGCAAATGCTTCAAAATGGGTAAGGTGTAAAAGGACAAAATCCCCCCCAAGCCCCCTGACATAAGATTTTTCCAGCGAGCAGAGACTCACAAGAGGACCTCCTCCTCACACAGAAATCCAGTTCTTCCCAATAATTAAAGTGTTGAAGAACGTTTATGGGCAGAATAGTATGGTTTATGCCTGTCCTGCATGGAAAAGTACTTTTTCTAGTAATCTGGTAAATTTAAAACTTGGAGGTTTTCAGAAGAGAATATCTGGTTATTGTTGGAAACCCAAGCAAATAAAATCTGGTATTTTTGCCACAGTTCCTTTACTGCTACACTCATCCTGGTCCCTGTTGGCCTTTCTTAGGGCTCATAACAAAGCTGCCCAAGCATTAGCTTCGGGAAAAGCTTTACATTAACTTTGACAAGACTTTGCCAAAACTGTCTTCCTTTCTTTCCTGAGTACAATCCAAGGTGCTGACAGAAAAGCAGGGACCCTCAAGGTATTTGTTCTCACTGTCTGAGACAGTCAGGTAAAGATTGTAATTGTCTGGGGCTTCCAGCAGAGGAACAGGTGTAGGAAGGAGAATAAGTGAACCACATCTCTCAGTCTGTGAGGGCAGTGCTGAACAAAGCTTCTGCTTCTCCCTGCACATGGCCTGAATAGGTTTGGGAAACTTTGGGGGGAGGGAATATGATATGACTGCTTTCACAGCAAACTTCAGAGCTCTTCCTCCCTGTAGGCTTAGACTCAGTTCCACACAGTTTACTCCATGAAGACCCTTGCAGGTGAGTACTTAGAAGTCCATCTTCCTTGCTGGCTCTAAGTGAGCATGAACAATCTCATGAGAATACTCCTGTGGAGCTTTTGCTGCTCAGTCATGATCCCAGCAGCCCCTGACCAGGCTGTGCTCTGTACTATTGTCATCTCCACTGGTGTCACCCTTTCTGCTTCTCTTTGCATATTTTACAGTTCAGCTTTCGGCAAGAGAATAATTTTACAGTGTAGTTGTAAAAATGTGATGCAAAGTCCATCTCAAAGGTTGGTGACCACTCTTTTACTGAAGCAAACCCTTCATTAGTAACTTACTACAGCTGTTAAAGTCTGCTGACATGGGACTGGATGTGAAAACACACAAACACTCCTCCTTACCCGTGGTCTCCTTCTTTGCTGGTCCAATAGTCCCAGGAGTCAGAGCCCCAACAGAACTGCAGCGTGACTGCAAAAAAGGCAAATGGATCAACCCCTTCTGATGGAGCCGAGCTCAGTTACAACCATAATGTCAGTAAATGTAAATATATTTGAGGTCAAACAAATCCCTGCTAGAATCCACAAAACATTATCCCACAGTTTCATGACTGAACCGCCGAATATTTTTTTCTTCACTCTCCCACAGCAGAATGTGACCTTGACACACTGGGCTTAAGCAGGACTCCAGAAGCCCAGGAACACAGACAGATGTGCTTTTTGAGTTTTAGTTTCCATGGCATTCTGGCAAAATTTTCATGCCTTGCCTGCCATGAAAATATTACAGGAAACCAAGGGTTCTACATGGAAACCCCATCACAGCATTTGGATTCCTTTTGACAGTAGAGATCATACAAGGCAACAACATTTTCCTCTAATTATGAATCAATTTAGTCCTAATAGGCCAATGTGAGGCATTTCTCTCTATATGAAGATTCCTCGGTTCGATAAAAGTGCCTCATATGCACAGAGCATTAAATTAAATCAAAATAAAGATTTCAATTTACCCAGATTGACTCAGACTTAATTGACATCCCTCATGGCAGTTTTCCATTTCTATCTCTGAAGTGCCATTCATTTTATTAATAAGATGTAAACAAATTCTTTTAGAATCAGGATGTTTACTGCAGAGATGTACAGCAATGTGGTAGTTTTGAAAGGCAGGCATTAAACAGCTGGAGGGTAGTTGGAGTGTGAAGGACAACATCTATACCCTCCTGAAAGGAAATTTCAAGGGACATGTACCCCTTTTTTCCCAAATATTACTCCCATTGGCACTGCTGGGGCACAGCTCGGGGTCAGCCAGCTGGCTCTTTGTTGAGGAGTGATGTGGAGGAACACTGAGGCGTTTGCCAATTTTGTCATCCATGTCATAACATGATTTGTTCAAAATTCCAAGAAACTTGGCAAAGTTTTGAGCCTTCCCAGAGGCCTTCTACATTTTTGGCAACTGTGGGGCTCCTGAGAGTATTCCTTTACTCAGAAGTTGAGCAGCAACTTTTTTCCTGTCATATGAAGTATTTAGCTGCAATTGCCTTCATCTCCAGTAGACTTCAGGGAGAAGTAGGGGAAAGTCTAAAGTATCTCAAGCTCTTTCAGCTACATGTTCTCATTTCCTTCAGGCTGAAAAATTAAACCTCCCTCATATTTTGTGCTCACAATCTGTCCTTCTTTTCCTGGGGCATCTTCTTTATTCTCTCCCTCAAGAGCATGTTGCTCTAAAAGTATCTTCCAGCTGTTCCAGTCAGTCCAAAACCTTCTAAAGTTTTCATTCTCTTTTTACACACTCTGGGAAGGAGAGATTTGCTTCTCCTTGGTTAACAAGGTTAGGCTATGGTACAGGATGTAAAAGAAGCAGCAATTCTTATGAAAGGCTCACCATCATCATCATCATCCTCCTCTTCTTGAGCATCCTGTAGTAATTTGGCAAGGCACTGCAGGGAAGAGCCTGAGGAAAAACTGTCCATATCCATACCCACTGCTCACCTATGCAGGAAAAAACAAGTGACAGATGAAGAAAGAACCAGGTGTGTTTTGAACAGTCTGTAAAGCACATTTTCTCGGCTGTGTGTTCTGGAAGGATAAGTTCAGCCAAACTGTTGCATGTGTGATGGCAAAACACGTATAATGGAACACAGAATCAGAGAATAGCTTGAGCTGGAAGGGACCCATGAGGATCACTGAGTCCAAGTCCTGGCCCTGCACAGGACACCCCAAGACTCCCACCATGCATCTGAGAGTGATGTCCAAACACTTTCTGAGCTCTGGCAGCCTTGGGGCTGTGCCCACTGCCCTGGGGAGCCTGTTCAGTGCCCAACCACCCTCTGGGGGAAGAACCTTTGCCTGAGATTCAACCTAAACCTCCCCTGACGCAGCTTCATGCCGTTCCCTGGGGTTCAGTGAACCCGAGGAAACAACAGCCAGCTGGATGTGTGTCCCTCCGTGCACACCGCACGGACTCTCCTGCCCCTCTGGCGCTGGCTGCCAGCACAGCTCAGGCCTGACAGCAGACCCCGCGTCACACGAAACCCGGCAAAACTCCCCGCAGGATCTCTGCCCGCCCGCCGGGCTTCCCACCGACCCAGCTGTAATCCCGGTGGAGGGCGAGGGAACCCGCAGCCCCAGGGAGACCCGCTGTCACCGCGGCCCGCAGCCCCAGGGTGACCCGCTGTCACCGCGGCCCCGCAGCCCCAGGGTAACCCGCTGTCACCGCGGTCCCGCAGCCCCAGGGAGACCCGCTGTCACCGCGGCCCCGCAGCCCCAGGGTGACCCGCTGTCACCGCGGCCCCGCAGCCCCAGGGTAACCCGCTGTCACCGCAGTCCCGCAGCCCCAGGGTAACCCGCTGTCACCGCGGCCCCGCTGTCCCGCAACCCCGGCCCCACCGCACCGCGTCCCCGTCCCCATAGCAACGCCCCGCCCCGCGCCGCCCGGAGAGCCAATCGGAGCAGCGAAACTGTGAGTGGCGGCGAGACGCACCAATGGCCGCCGAGAGCGGTGAGGGGCGGGGCCGGGCGGGGCTGGACCCGCCGCCGTGTCCGCCACGGAGGGTTCACCTTCTCCGGTGGCCCCGGCGGGAACAGCCGGGTTTAACATCGGCACTGCGGCCTCAGCGGGAACAGCCGGGTTCAACATCGGCACCGCGGCCCCGGCAGGAACAGCCGGGTTCAACATCGGCACCGCGGCCCCGCAGGCCTCGACCGCGGGGCTGACCTTCGGCACGAGCCCTGCAGCTGCTGCCACCACCACGGCCACCCTGGCAGCCGCCACCCCGGCAGCTGCCACCCCCTTCAGCCTCGGGGGGCAGCCCACAGGTGGGTGAGCACCGGACTGGGGAGGGACGGGAGGTTCTGCAGCCTCCGGAATGCAGCGGGGGCTGCAGTCGGTGCTGTGCCTGACAGGCCTGCCCGGGGTCTGCAGGGGTGGGCAGCAGTGGTTCTTCAGCCTTTGGGTTGGGAGAGTGAGGCTGAGTAATCCTGGCCGTGCGTGCAGAAGTGCCAGCTGCCTGGGGAGCACGTTTGAAAGGGGTGATTTGCTGGTGCAGAGGGAAGGGGCTGGGAGTGGGTGCTGCAGGATGAGTCTGGCTGACTGGATGTGTGTGTTGAATGTTATTGTCCTTCCTTGCTCCCACAACAAAAGAGCCAAACCCGGGTAAGACTGAGCAGCCTGCATTGATCTGCAGGTGTGGTGACTCTGGAGGACGTGGGAAGTTCACAGCATCCATAACTTGAGTTGGAGGGCAGAGCAGGAGATGCACTCAGGAGTGAACACTTGATAGCGTGGTGACTGTTGTCTCTGGTTTGGAATTCAACTTTCACTACTGTCATCCTAAAACCAAATGGAAAAAAGGAACTTTACAGCCAGGGAGTGCCTTCTGGTGAGGGGTTCCAGAATTCTGCACAGTTGTGCTTTTAGCAGCCACACGGGGGCATGGCAGAATAAAGCATCACTCCTCTCACCCAAATTGCACTGCCTGGCTGCGGTGCTGTGAAGTGCTCACAATTGGTGTAGCTTCTTGTGTGAACGCAGGCCTGTTCCTGTCCATGTTCTGACAGAAATATGGGCTTAGGGCAGCATTTAATTTGGCTTTTTTCTTTCAGAACATATATGCGAAGTTCTGCTTTCCAAACATGCCTTTTTCAGGGAATCTGGCACAACTTCTGTGCTATCATAATTCTGACTCTACAGAACGTGTGTGTGAAAATAGCCATCTGTTTCCTTTAAACTTTTCTAGAAAGGAGACCCATTTTTCCCTCTGTCTTCCTTCACTACTGAAGGAGTCATCTGACTGGTTAATAATGATTCATTTTCTTTGCTGAGAAATGTACATCCAAAGAAACAGTTCAGCTTCAGTTCACCTTCAAACAAGACAGGAGAAGTAAGCCTAAGAAATTGCAGTTTTTAAAGAAGGCTTAAGGTCTCTCTCTGGGCTTGGTGTGCTGTACAAGGTAAAAACTAACCTGGAATATCTGCAAGAGCCACAGGCTGACATGGTGCTGTAGCTTCTGATAAGCTCTCATGGAATAAATTAGAAATTGCTTTAGCCTGTGCCCAGAGTTTCTGTAGGTGGCCGTGCCTGCTGCGTTTCACACTGATAATCAATCAGTGGAGTGGCTTATGTATTTCCAAACCAGTGATCTGCAAATATCAGATTGTCTGTGTTGTGGCTGCAGGTGCTCTGCAGCTCTTCTCTGCTGATTGCTCTGTCTGCTCTGTATGTACAGGTAAAACTCTGACTGTGTGAAAAATAGGTCTGTTCTAAGCACAAACTGGAATGGCAAAAGTGTCAACAGCACATCCCAGGACTCTCATGACTCTCTGTGCCAGTCCCTGAATGCCTCAGGACACTTTCTGGTCCCTCTTCTTTGCCTTGGGGGGTTGGCAGTGCTTTGTGTTGGGTTTTCCTTCTGTTTTGTGCCCTGTCATCAAATATGAGTGACTGTCAACTTGAAAATGCTTTTTTTTCCCCCTTCTGCGGGCACAAGTGTGCAGGGTTGTGTTCTGGGGTGACTGTGAGATTAACCCCTTGTTTGTCCCCCAGCTGTGCTGCAGAGGAAGGTGGAAGAGGTGACAAAGGTTTGCAAGAGCCGCCGCAAGGAGCAGGAGCGCAGCTTCCGCATCACCTTTGATTGAAGGACTCCCCAGAAAACAGAGGTGTTGGGGAACTGAGGTCTGAAATGGTGACCTGGCTTTTTTCTTTTCTTGCAATAAAATGTGTTGTTTGTTCCAAAGGCAGTCTTTGTGGTGTTGGAGGGGAATTCACTGACCCCAGTCCGAGAAACTGTGTGAAGGTTGTGCAGGAGGTGTGGGCTCTTTGTCCTTCAGCACTGCCTGCAGGCTGGTGGGATACACAGATGCTGCCTGGGAGGGCTCTGGACAGGCTGTGCCTCCCTGGTCGAGCTCTCCAGCACTTAAATGTAACTTGGACATATTCAACTGGGACTTGATCAGCTTTTTTTCAGGTTGGCTGATGAGTGTCCTCAGAGGAGCTGCAGCAGTCTAAGAGACTGTAATCCCTGACCTGGCAAGCTGGAGTCGGTGTTTAAATTAGGTATCTGAGAGTGGGCCTTGTTTTTTGTGCTTTTGGGCAACAAACTGCTTTTGCACTGGTACCTGTGAGCAGAATTTCTGTGCAACTGAAAATTACTAGACGTGCCAGTAAAAAAATGGCACTTCTGTGGTGATTTGGTGCAGTGCAGGAGGGTCCAGGGAAGAACATGGTCACCAAGTCTGCTACAAAGGCTGTTTAGGGAACAGAGTCCAATCACTGCTTTTTGATCCAGTGTGATTATAATGCACATTCCAGTGTATCTTTATTAAGCTACAGTAAGATCTGCAGGCCAGCCAGTGTCACTTCTGAGCCCAGCATGATCATGGAGCAGATCTTCATGGCAACTCTGTGAAGGCACATGGAAGATAAGGAGGTGATTGGTGACAGCCAACGTGGCTTCCCTAAGGGCACATTGTGTCTGACCAATTTTGTGCCCTTTTATGATGAGGTTACAGCACTGGTGGATGAGGGAGGGGCAACTGCTGTCACCTACCTGGACCTGTGCCAGGCATTTGACACTGTCCTGGGTGACATCCTTGTCTCTGAACTGGAAAGATGTGGATGTGATGGATGGACCCCTCGGTGGAGCAGGGACTGGAGAGGTGTGTTCAAGGGCTTGATGCCCAAGTGGGGAGCAGTGATGAGAGCTGTCCTCAGGGTTGGGACTGGCACTGTTTATCAGCTGTGCTGGTGACAAGGACAGCGGGATTGAGGCACCCCCAGCCACTCTGCAGATGACACCATCTGTCACACGCTGGAGGGAAGGGACACCATGCAGAGCGACCACGAGTGTGACTGCAATGCCCATTCCAAACTATCTTTACTAAGTGAGGGGGGTGAATGGTCGCGTATTTAGCACAGCTGCCCTGGTGCTCGGTTCTTTGCACTTCGAGCTCTTGTGCAAAACACCAAAGGGGCGCAAATGTTCCACTTACCCTCCTGTGCTGCCCCACAGCTGCCCTGTCTAACAGCGCGTCCCTGCAGGAGGGGAAGGCTCTGCTTTTCAGTGGGAAAAGTGTTTGTTCAGGAACAAACTCCTGAACACCGATTTGTAGGTGTTGAAGAGGGCATTCTTTACTCAGCACGCTGGAGGTTCGGAGGATGGCTCCTCTAACCGAGGGTGCCAGATGACAGACAGGGCTTTTTATTACACATACAGTTTACATGTTCATCAGATATTCTCGCTTACCTAATACACACAGTAATTAGTTTGGTTTAGGAAACCGCGCCCTTATTCAAAGTCCTTTTCTTTGGTCCTTCCGGGTCTTCTTCGTCGTCTTTGACCCCAGTTCTGGAGCAGGGACAGCGTCACAGAGTTCCACCACCAAAAACTGTCGCCTTTGCTCTTTATCTTGTCCGGGGCACACAGAGCTCAGTCCCCTTTGTTGCACCCCTTCCCTAACTCCTCTGGGGCTGCTCTGAGATGATATTGTTCCTTTTTCTGCGGCATGGCGGGGTAAAGTTTCTGTTTCTCCAGGAAATAAAAGCTCTCCAATCCTTTCCGGGCCGCGGCTCCCGGCGCTCCGCGCGGCCGCGGGCGCTGCCGGGGCTTGGAGTCCGGGATCGGCGGGGATCGCAGGGATCGTGGGGATCGGCGGGGCCATGCGCAGGTGAGGGGGGTCCCCGGGGTCCCACACTGCCCCTCCGTGGTCCCACACTGCCCGTCTGGCCGCGGCCCCGCGCCCGGAGCTGCCCCGGGCCGGGGGGTGCTGAGCCCGGCACGGCCCCGCTGTCCCAGCCGGGTCTGAGCGCGGGACAGCGCGGGGGGATGCGGGGTCAGCCAGAGTGGGACAGAGCCGGTGGGAAGGGAAGAGGGAGCTTGAGCTTTCCGGGGAGTGCTGCTGGAATTCAGAGCTTCCCTTCGCCCTCGAGGTTTTCTTGCTTTCGCGACTCCTTTGAAAGTGGCAGTGCCTGTTTAGGCAGTGATGCGAAGCAGTGGTCCGGCAATAAAAATTATTGTATGTGACTTAAAGGAAGAAAACAAGAACCCCCTAATAATAATAATAATAATAATAATATCCTCTACCAAAATAAAAACACCCCAAGAGTCCCAGAGGTGCTTTAATGTTGTCAGAGTAGTCCCCAGTCTGTTGGCTTTTCAAGTAACATTAGTGGGAGCTTTGGTCAAGTAGTTTTGGCTGCATGTCATGCTTTAATTCCCATTAAAACAGCCAAAGAGGCAGAGAGGTTGTAGGGGGGATGCGCTTTGAGCAGTGTTCTCCCCATTGCCTTACCTCTGTGCTGGGCTTGTGTGCCCCAGGGTCAACAGCAGCCTGTCCAGTGATGAGCTTCTCCTGGAAGACTTGGAGACGGAAGGGGAGAGGCAGCTGAAGAGCCTCCTTCACCAGCAGCTTGATACCACTGTCTCCATCGAGCAGTAAGTCCTGGTGTGTCTGGGGAGGAGTCCAGCCCCTTCCCGTCCCCCCAGTTGGTCAGTGCTAAGCTGTGTGTGCTGTTGTCTTGCTTTGGGTCACAGGTGCAAGTCAAAGCGAAGATGCTTTGCTCCTGCAGCTTTTTACAAGCCTTTTGGGGAGGAGGCTGCGGGGGCTTTGACCTTGTCGCAGTTCCAGGCCCTGGAGGAGAGCAACAAAGAAACTTCCTCACTCCGGGAGCTGGGGCTCTCTGACTCGGAGATTCTGCTCTGGAAGAACCGGACTTCAACAAGGAAGGTGGGCATGCTCTGCTCTTCCTGAGGGAGGGAACCAGTGACATTAGTGCATGTCTCCTACTGCTTGTGAGAGAAAAAGAATATTGGGAGAGAGAGAAAGCCCAAGTCAGGTAATGATGTGCAGCTTTGTACATGGAGGATGTACATCTTTCCTGAATGAAAGATTCCAACAAAAATGATGAGGAATGTCAGCTGAGACAGAGAGAACTTCAGATTGCCCGGGGAGCTGTTGGCAAAGTACTGAGTGCAGATTTTATGTTATTTTCAGCTGCTAAGTGGCAGCTTTTTTGAAAACAAAGTACTACAAATGATTTCCAGGAGTTGCTTTTCCACGTAAACAGCCTTTTGTGCCTCAGGGAAGCTGTGAAATGGTGAATGGAAGCCATGCAGATGTGGGGCAGAGGTACCATGGGAAAGTCTTTGTTAGGCTTGTTCCTTGCCTGAGGCAGAAGGATCTGCCACAGTGATTCTCAAACTGAATTTGAGTAAAGAAAATCCATCCCATAAAAGCGTGTTCCCTGGATTCTGATCGAGGTGGATGGAGGAACAGAAATGCTCTTTCAGCAGCTGTGCTTTCAGCCTGGCCCTGTGCAGTGAAGGTTTATTTATCCAGGGATGCTCAAATCTACCCTCAGGTGCCAAATGGCAGCTTGGGGTCCACTTTTCAGCAAATAATGCTCTCTGAGTGAGGAGGTCGTAGAATAAAAGGTCACAGAATAAAAGCTTGGTGGAAACCTGAGCTGGGCAGTGCTACAGGAATGGGGAAAGAATTGCCAAAGGGGTTTGTGCACTGAAGGTGGCCCTGGAAAAAGGCTGGAGCTGCCAGAGGCAAGGGCTGCAGGGACAGAGGGAGTCAGGCCAGGGAAAGGGAAGCAGCACAGAAAGGTCAGGGGGAAGGGGCTGTTTCTCCACTTCTCTCAAGAGCTGAGCTGGCTGAGTGGCTGCAGCTACAGGACCTGCTGGTGCCCTGCTCTCTGGGGGTGGTTCCTGGTGGCACCCAGCGCAGGGCTGGGGGTGGGAAGTGTGGCTGCTGGCCGAGGCTCTGAGAAGGAGGCCAGTTCCTGAGCAAAGCTGTGCTTGTCTTGCAGGGCTCTGGGCTGGGGGCGGCCCCGGAGGCCACGCAGGACCGGCTCCATGCCATCCAGGAGAAGATGGAGGAGCGGCAGCGCATCCTGGCTCTGCCCCAGAGGTTTGCTGGCAGCAAGCAGCTGAGCCGCAGGGAGATGGAGATTGAGAATGCCCTTTTCCAGGGAACAGACCGCCACTCCTTCCTCCGGGCGCTCTACCACGAAGGTGTGGGGGCTCAGGGCTCTTCCTGCCTCGGCTCCAGCGTGGAGAGCCAGGCTGTGTGGGTGTCCAACATGTCTCTGTCCGACCTTCTGTCCCTGAAGATGTGGTTCTGTTTTGGTCCTGTGTGGGAGGGGATATTTTCCTCTCTTACAGGAGCAGAGAGCGAGTTGGTTCTGTGAAGGGTTTAACATAGAGCCTTGTAAAATGCATCTTTTTGGAGAGCATGGGTCTCACTGACGTGCTGCACGTACTGCAGAGCCCATCTCGGGGTGTGGAAGAGGGCCTGGAGTTGTGCTTTGGTGGAGCCTAAAGATCTGAGTTATACAAATGCCTGTGTGGGACTAGAGATTGTTCCTCCTCTGAGCAAAACTGCAGTCTAACTAGGGGGAGAAGGAAGCAAAGGCACAGAGCAGGTGAGAGGAGGAATGACTTGTTAAAGGCTCCTCTCTGAAGTGGAATTGGGTCCAGTTGTGGATTCCCTGTGCTGTGTCCATGGGATGACAGCACTTCCTGCCCCAGGGGTGGTGTCCCTAAACCTCTCCGTGTCTCTTCCTGCAGTTTGAGTGTTTCCCAGGTTCTTGGTGGTAGTCACGTACCATGTTTCTCTGTTATGAATTAGATGACACTCAGAAGAAGGGAACAGATGGAAAGGACCCCATGGTTCATCTGGAGAGTGTTTACCAAGAGCTGCTGAGCAAGAAGGGCCCTGAAAAAGTCCAGCCTGCTAAGAGTGACCCCTGCTTGTGCCCTTCCCTGGCCCCACAAGGGTCTGTGGCTGAGGGCTCATCACCTCCTGACCAGGAAGAACAAGCACAACAGGCAGCAAGTCCCAGCATTCCTGCAGTAAAGCCCCACCAGTCCTCTCCAAGGCCAGTGGTTATCAAGGATCCTGTAGAGTTTGTGCCAGAAGAGGAGATCCTCAAGAACCGCCTGTCAGAGGAAGAACTCCGGAAAATACCCAGGTTCTCGTCCTACCATCCAGGGGAGCCCAGCAAGGTAAGCTGAGATGAGCCAGGGTTTGTTCTGCCTCACTAGCATGCCCTGAAGCTGTGTCAGCAGCAGAAGGCTCCTCTGCTGTTGCCTGGAGGTTGCTTGGCTGATTCTCCAGACCAAGGGAGAGAAGCCTCCCCTCTGGGAGGAAAGGGGAGCTTGGGCTGTAGTGGGAAGTCACAGGCCTGGCAAAGGGCTGTGCTTCTGAGCCCAGCAAGTCACCAGTTAAGATGTGCTCTCTCTTTTTGGACCTGGCTAAGACCAGCTATGCTTAAGGGTTATCTGAAGCTTGCTGCATTTTAAAACTAACTGAAACTCTCAGCACTCGGTGCAGGTAAGCACGGGGGTGCCTTGAGTTCAGAGCTGCCTTTCTCTGTGCACCCACCCATCTTCCAAACATCATCGTTAGCACGTGGGTGTGAGGGGCTCTGGGGTGGCAGAGGGGCTGAACTGATTCACACCCTTCATCTGTCCGGACTGGGGACCAGGCTGAAGGGTGTCTGTGCATGGCAAGGGCCAGCTGACCCTCTGTGTCCCTGGATCAGGTGCTGTATTTGAAGAACCTGGGCCCTCGGGTGACGATGAAGGACCTGGTGTCCTTGTTTGCCCAGTTCCAGGAGGAGGACAGCCCACTGCTCCAGTTCCGCCTCCTCAGCGGGAGGATGAGGGATCAGGCCTTCATCACCTTCCCCGGTGAGTCGCTGTGTTGTTTCCCTTGTGCCTCCCACTTCTTCCCTGACCTCCAAAGGTGCCACATCTTCCCACAGGGCACTGGGCTGCTGCCAAGCCTGCTCTCCAAGGAGGAGGAGGGGAATTCACTCCCTCCTCTTCCTGTCACATCCCAGTCTTTTCCCTGGGTTGGAAGAGGATTTATCAGAGCAGAAGTGATGCTGTGCCAGCACGTGCTGGGTGACCTGTGCCCCCTGTGCTCTCTCTTGTTGCAGATACCGAGTCTGCCCAGAGTGCCCTGCAGCTGCTGAACGGGTACAAGCTGCAGGGGAAGCCACTGGTGATTGAATTTGGGAAAAGCAAGAAGCATTTGCCAGAGACTGACTCTGCCACCCCCAGCTCCTCTGCTGCAGAGAACGCCCCTGCCACGTGAGGATGGATAACCAGGAGCCTTGTGGAGTTCAGTGAGCCGTGGGAACTCCGTGGTTGTCCCTGGGACAGTGAAGGACTGTTGGGAGTTAACGGGCAGGTCCATTCAGCTTGAGGTGGGGAAGGGAGAGAGATGGGCACTGCCTTTACACTGTTGGGGTGGACTGGCTTTTTCGTCCTGTTCCACAGGTGTGTTTGCCTTCTCAGCTTTCTGGGGCAGGGAGGGAGAAAGGAGGCCATGTAAATAAATGCACTTATTATGGTATTTCCATAGTGTGTGCTTATTCACATTTGTGCTCCACAAGTGTTCTCCAAGTGTACTGCTCTCTGCTGCTGCAGGGCTGTGTCCACAGCTCAGTCCTGGCCTCTGCTTTGAGCTGCAGCACCTGACTGGGGGGCTGCTGCCCTGGTTCTGGTGGCAGCAGGTATGTTGCTACAGGACAAGAAAAAAAGTCTGTCCCTTTTCTTCCAGGCACTGTGGCTGCACGAGTATGTAATTACAGGGGTGCTTTTGATGGGAAATACACCTTGGCTCCTCACTGTGGATGCCCCTAAAGCCCTGATGGCTGCTCTGTGGGGTGGCATTAATGGCAGACACTGTGGTTTATCTGCTGTCCTGTTTCAGTGCTTTTTCTGTGAAAAGCACTTGTGTGGACTCCCCTCCAACACCACAAAGACTGCCTTTGGAACAAACAACACATTTTATTGCAAGAAAAGAAAAAAAGCCAGGTCACCATTTCAGACCTCAGTTCCCCAGCACCTCTGTTTTCTGGGGAGGCTTTATGTTAATCCTTTAAACTCGGGAGTCCTTCAGTCAAAGGTGATGCGGAAGCTGCGCTCCTGCTCCTTGCGGCGGCTCTCGCAAACCTTTGTCACCTCTTCCACCTTCCTCTGCAGCACAGCTGGGGGACAAACAAGGGGTTAATCTCACAGTCACCCCAGAACACAACCCTGCACACTTGTGCCCGCAGAAGGGCAAAGAAAAACATTCAAGCAGGGCTTTTGTGGGTAAAATGTGAGCAGCTGCCAGGAACTACTTGTCAGCAGAGGCCCCTAATGAGGCACATCAGGAGAAGTCAAGCACAAGAGGGACATTGAAGGTGAGGAAGAAAAGATTCCTCAGGGATCTTCAGCAATTCAGTGACTCCCACACATGCTACCTGCTTTCCATTTACATTCCCAAAAGGCTGCAAGACGACTCACCTGAGTTCTGGTCAATCCACTGCAGGGAATCCATGTGTGCATTCAATATTTTACAGATCTGCTGAAGCTGAGCAGAAAGAGAAGGTGCAAGTCAGTTGTTACACTACATAAACACTAAGAGGAGTAAGAGAGAGCCTGCCTGTCCTTTGCTTGGGAACAGGTTGCAGTCAAGTTTCTCACTGTTCAGCTCCCCTAACTGAGCAGCCACTTTCCCACTTTCTGTGCAGCAACCCCGCTGTTTTCCTTCTCTTTACCATTAGGAAAACTAGATCATATGTCTGTGGCTTATTCTAATTTAGACCTAGGAACCATCAGAACATTCATCACCCTAGGATTCTGCTGGCAAAACTAAAAATAAATGTGGAAAACTCAGTCTCCAATAGTGAAGGGAAATTTTTACTGAAAAATAAGCTGCTCAGTAAAGCCATAAGGAGAATCAAGATCAATTTAATACCTATCAGAAAGAGCTGGTTATTCAGATCTTGCTTTCATGAGGATACAAAAATAGTATAAGGAAAATGTATCAACATCTATGGGGGGCATTCTGAACAAAATTTAGATTTGCCACAGGACAGATGCAAATGGTGGAGCCTGATCAATGTTAAACACCTCTGAAACACAGCACAGCTTCAGGCACAAAACAATCAACAAGCAATCAACCAGGAGTTCATACCAGAATGAGATGCTTTGAAAACTGCCAACAGAACTGCAGGGTAATTAAATATCCTTTGCCAAAGGAAACAAAAAAGCTTGCATTTACCGGGTCACTCGTGTCTGCTGGGCCTCTTGATGTGTTCAAGTGCTCAGTGATGTCCTTCAGGTCTTGTGCCATGCGCTTCAGCTGAGCATCGATGTTCTCAGCCAGCTTGTAGCTGCAGAACACCAGGGAACCAAGATCAGAACGTTTCAAGTGACCTTTGAAGACCTGCTCCCAGTCACACCAGCTATGGGCAATCACAGCCTCCATGTCTTGCAGCCCAGGCTGGCAGAGACGTGGGAGCAGCACCCTGAGAGGCTCCATCACATGCAGGAAGAGACTCCTAAACCAACTCTCAACAGATACATGGAGACAGACAAGCAGTAAATAGCGTGAAGGGCTTCCTGGAAGGTTTTGTCAGAACTGAAGGAAGCAATAAGCCTGCATTCTTCAAGATTCATTCTCTCCTGAGCCAGACAAACACTGCCTTTAACTACTCTGCTATGATGCATCACTTAGGGCTTATGAGGATGCCAGTGCCACACCCAGTATGTTCTGTTCTCATCACTTCTATCACTAAAGAATCATTAATGTTCAGAAATTGTGCAAAAATTAGTATACTCTTCCCAGACAGCTGATTAGACCAACATGCAAAGAGCTTTTCATGCTGACTCAAGGGCTCCCACTCCCAATTCCCATTTCTAATGAGTAAAATCTAAGTTGCCATGCACAATGCAGGGTTAAATATCTGACAGCAGCCACGGCTGGTTCAGTACTGTCCTGCATCCCAACTCCACTTCCCGCTGGCTGGTCGTCACCCCAGGAGGCTGCTCACACACATCCCAAGCAGGTGTCTGCCTTACGTCCTCTCCCGCTCCTCATCCGCGTGCTGCAGGTAGATGGTCCCGCTCTGCTCCTTCACAGACTCCTCCAGAGGAGTCAACAAGTCCTCAAGCTCCTTCTGCTGTGACAGAATGAAGTCGAGTTCCTGATCCAGTCTGAAAAGAGGAAATGCCCATTTTAATAAACCCTTACAGGTTATAAACGCTCTAGAGCTGTCATACAAGCACATAAGACAAAAACTCCCAAAAATCATCTCAGGTGTTCATAGTTTCTTACCTCTTCTGATCAACCTTCACCTTCTCCACTTCTCTGTGTAATGAAGTAATCTGGAAATAGAAGACACTTCATTAGACCTTGTAAACTCAAAAGACAACTCCCCAAAGAGGAGGAGTGGGAGTGAGAAAGCAGCACCACACAAGAGACAGTTACGCACAGATTTACAGACCAAGGATGGGCTAAGGGAGGTTCAGCTTGGAATGCTCCCCCTAAAAGAACTTGTCATCACAGAGCAAAGTCACAGAAGAGATTTCCAAGCTCCAATGCATGAAGAATAGAACACACAGAGATTTGTGAACAACACGCAGACAGAATTCACATCTATTTTTTTTCACAAGTCGAAAGTGCCATGCACTGGTTTGTTGCATCTGTAACACTGAAGGCCTTTCAGGATCTAAGCAAGCAAAATCAGGTTACACTGGACATGTCCTCACCTTCTCTCCATTCTCTATCAGCATACGATCCCAGGCATTCACTTGTGTCGCTTGATGGAGAAAGTGTTTCTCTTGGTCTTCCAGTTCCAGGCTCCACTTGTTTATCAGACTCTCCAGCTGGGCATAAGTCATCACTGGAGGTGTGCTGAGAGGGAGGGAGGGGCAGGACAGAACACAGGATCAGAAAAGAAAAGAGAAACACGACAACACTCCTTTCCCCTTCCTCCATCACAACCCTCCACACACTTGCCCCAGTCAGGAAATAGTGGTCACAAAACACTCACCTGGTCGTGGTGGTTGTGGTGGCTGTGGAGGTCACAGCTCCAATGGCACCAGTTGTAGTCAATGGCTTCAGATTCAAAGGAAAGCCAGAAGCAGTAGTAGTACCTGGAAAGAGAGATTCAAGTCAAGCAACAGAAGAGAACACATCTGGTAGGTAACAAACTGTAGCAGCTCTAATAGGCCTCTCTGAAAAAAAAAAGGCAAACCCCCCATCTGCCAAGAAGGGAATGAAAACATCGCTCACCCACACCCCTCTCAATCTCCTCATGCTCTACTATCAGACCTAATAACTACCAGCACACCCAGTTACACTCCTGCACCTGTGCAGATGAGGTTTCTACGTCTCTAAAATGAGATGGAATAGGAGGATCAAAGAAAGACTGTGTTCTTTTCAGTTAGTTACTGGAGGGCTTTACAGGTCAGAACTGCTCTGCTGCTACTCTTTCTTCTTTTCAGCTACTTTCAGCATCTCGTTCCTACCAGTGGCAGTGCTTGTTGTGGCAGCCGTTGTTCCAGGAACTTTTAATCCAAACCCAAGTGTCCCAAGACCGGCAGTCCCAGTGGAACCAGTGGAAATGGCACCAACTGTAAACAGAAAACAACATTAAGAGGTTTGAAAAGCTCTGCCCTGCCTGCTCACACCTCTCACCCCAGCAGCAGCAGCAGAGCTCCACTGCCCACAGGCACCAGCAGCCCTGCTCTGCTCATTTATTCCCCAAGGGGGATAAAACCTGGATAAAGCCTGTCTGGAGTGACTCACGTGAGAGGCCCGTGGTGGTGGTGGACGACGTTGTGGTCGAAGAAGTCGCGACAGACGCGAACAGCGTGGGCCCCGTCGGAGCCAGCCCAGAGGTTGTGCTGGTGGAGGCTGTTGTAGCAGCTGTGGATGTTCCTGCCAAGAGAAAAAGCTCCATCTTGGACAAGCAGAGCACGCAGAGCTCCCACTGCAGGACAATCCTGCTGAGAAGGCAACACAAACTGCCTGGCTACACCAGTTTCTTGGGCATGCCAGGATTTTCCCGGCTTTTCCTCTTATTCTGCCTCAACACTCTCCTCTCTCCCAAGGAACCCCTTATGGTTGTGGCTCCCTTCCACTACACTCCCACAAGTACAGAACAGAATGTGGCATGTGGGATGCAATCCAAAACACAGGACACCACATCCAATGGCTCTGTGAGCTGTCAGGGATCTCCACTGCCAGAACAAACTCACAGCAACAAACGCTTCTACAGCCCCTTCCCAGAACCCAGTGTAGAAAAGTATCCCCAGAAGGACCTGAGGAATTATTTCCCAAAACAACCTCCTACCTCCAAGCTTGGTTCCAAAGGACAGGGTGGGTGCCTGGGTGGTACTTGTGGTCAGTGTTGCTGTGGGTGCACTCGTGGCTGCTGTTGAAGTCAGTGACCCAAAGGTTAGACCTGGAACAAGTACAAGCAAAAGGAAAAGATGGACTTTTTCTTACAGGTCACTGAGCTTTGGGCAGATCCTGCAGGAGGGAGCAGGTTCCTGCCCCCAGGGAGCTGAACCACGGTCT